CCCCACACTTCTTAAGCGCGAGCCGGTCCGAGGCAAAAGATAAACTAAACTATTCCCGTAAGTGCTCATCCCAAACCGTGTCCACCATTAGAGCTATGACTGTGCCTGCTTGTTTTACTGACGCACTAGCTCTTATGCACAGTGGTGCGGATTAACCAGAAGAGTTAGCGGTGGCTACACGCCGCTCATGCCGATTCTATTTTACAAGCGTTCTGAATTCATCTCATTTCCCTGTCAGCTTGCTCGCGTCATCACACGCGGTGCCTACCAATCAGTCTCGTTTCTTTTTGCCCGGTATCAGCAGGGCGTTTTCTCCTGGTTTTTAACAGGTTCACTGGCGTTTCTAATATCGTGCATCTGGTGCGTTGACGATGTATTGGGCTGCAACTTGAAGCTCCCACGTTGTGGATAGTATCGGAAGTACCATTCCGCCGAATCTCACTGTCCTCAGCTTCCTGATGACTAAGCATAGTCATCCACCACTTCGAGCAGAGACAAGTGTTCCAGGACAGTTCCTTAATTGCCAGTGAGTGAAATTGTTTGATGAGCCTTCTAAACGCATTCATAGCGTATTGTTAGGTTACTCGGGTATGATCGGTATCGATGCACTTGTTCAAAATAGTGTAGCAAAATTTTTAGCTTCATAGTTCACTTTGTACATCGCTGGTCAGCTGTCGAAGGATGTTATGTGATACAGCTGCGTGCCTTATTCTTAGTTCGTCTTTGGATGCAGTCAATTGCAGGGGCGCAATTTGGGTGTAGTCACTTCAGTGGCTAGTGCAAATGTTTCTGGCAAACAACTGACTACTGTAGAGGTCTGTCAACAGTCTGGAGAGTGCTCCGGAGGACTGCGAGCCCAGCGGCGTCGATCTGCTTCTGGGGGTTGACTTCGGGATTTGGAAAATGTAGACGACATCGCTGTAATCTGCGATTCTTCACAGACCGCCCAAAATGTCCTGTGTAGGTTGGAGGTGTCTGTTTCCCAGATTGTAATGACCTTCGCACCATGGAAGTGTAAGTCTGCAGGACTGGCTAGGCGCTGCTCCTACCCTTACCCTTTCAGGTCATTCATTGGAAGTAGTGGACAAGTTCCTTTACCACGGAAGCTGCTTCAGCGGTAATGGTTTAACGGATAAGGTCTCTTTGCGTGTCTCCAAGACTCGGATTGCCTTTGCCTATCTCTGGCGCTGAGGCGGTCTAAGTCTCTGAAGTGCCGGGTTTACAAAAACACAGTGAGAGCGCTTCTGCTCTATGGCTTCGAGACGTGACCTGTTCGCGCAAAGCGTGTTGAGAGGCTGTCTGTTTTTGATCACCGCTGCCTTCGGAGCGCTTTTTACTTTCTACTTTTCTTTGCTTTTCCTTCGGAGCATTGGTGCATGCGGTGGCAACACCACACTAGTAACGGAGAGGTTCGACTTAGGATTTCCAGATCAGACAGACTTTACCGGCCACTGAGCAGCATAATTTTTCTGCGCAGACTTAAGTGGCTTGGGTGTGTTCTTCGCATGCCTTCTCATCGCTTACCTCTCTGTGCCCTCCTCGCGCGCTCAGAAATCGGTTGTAAGCGAAAACAAGGTGGCTAACGGATGACTTGGGCTAGGAGCATGAATGAGCTAATGTCCAAGTTAGCCGTGGTCGGGCGCTGTCGCCTCTCTAGCTGGAGTGTGAAGTATTCGGAACACACATGGCTGGAAACGCTCTCGGATATGGCAAAAAGTCGTGCACAATGGTGGACTTACGACTCACTATTCCCATGAACATCGGTTTTTTTCCATCTTCTTATGTCTATCGTATTTTCCATAGGTTGTTGCACTCTGCCAATTGTACTTTTGGCTGTGCTATATGGTCGGCGGCATTCGGTTTCGGATTTGCCTGTCACTGTGATCAGCCACAGGACGCATGCGCTTACAGAGGGACCATGGGTGGCTTGCGCTGCACCACCCACAGCTCCATCCACACACCTCATATCCAGTGTAAACCCGAAGGAATAAGACCGGGAGGCATGTGGATAGAAGCCAGGCTTCATCAACGGAGCCGGCCCACAATCCTACACAGGTAAACACAAGCACGCTGTATTTGGGAATCAAGCGCACACAAGGCGGTGATTGGACTGTAGTCCGCTCCACACTGTGTGCATGGAACCACTCTTTGATCCTAACACGGCTACAGGGACCCTGCACTCCATCCCCTCCAGCAACAATCAACTTTCTCCTGGAGTCAGTATGGACGAGGTAATGCGTAATAGACAGGTAGATATCTTGTCAACATGCAAATCAAGCGCAGCCACACTGGGGATATCAAGCAGCAGCCAACCACTTGAAACGACAAGATGAAATAATGCAAGATAACATAATGCATACAGTAACGGAGACATAACTGTTCACTAAAAGAGGGTATAAAAATGATTACGAACGAATCGGCGATAACTTCATGAGGTCAGGAAACATATTTCAAGAAAATGTCACAAACGCGAAAATGCTATCGAAATTAACTACAATTGGCTTCAGCAACCTGTGCAACTTTATGGAATATGGTACAGGTAGACAATAATATGAGAAAGAAAATCATTAGGATAAAATTGAAAATCCACCACCTGAAATAAAGGGATTTAGCATGCAAGCACACGTCTAGTAAATCGAATGCAGCGTACCTACAAACGCTGCGCCGATTCTGTCTACATTCTCTGCAGGACCTGTCGTCGCTTCGCTGGTGATCCGGAGTGGCCTTGCTCATGGTTCACTAGGCCTGCCTGACTCAGGCGCTCGCGACTGCATTTGCTACAGCATCATGCGCTCGATGTTGATGGAGTACAACCCATCGGCAATTGCCGCCTCTTCTCTGCATGCATGAGGTCTCTCCCGCACATCGGCAATTGCCTTCGTCATCTGGTCGCGCTATTCACGCCGATCAATCGCCTTCGATTCCCATGACCTGCAATCAAGATTAGAACGTGAAAGTCTCACTTTGATCATGTCCTGGTAACGTAACTTTGGTTTCCCCACATGCTGCTTCCCAATACTCAGCTGACCATATAATAGTTGTTTCGGTATCCGCGTTGAATCCATACGGATCACATGACCGGGCCATCTCAGGTGTCTCAACAAGAGTATGCAGTCCACTGCATAAATTCCACTTCGACGGAACACTTCCGTGTCAGCAACTCTGTCGCGCCTTCCGATGCGCATAATCCACCGCAAACACTGTTGATGGAACTGCTCGAGATATCGCACATCCCGCCGGTACATCGTCCACGTTTCGCTGCCGTATAGAAGAACGGACAGCATCATGGATTTGTACACCATCAGCTTCGTGTCAATGGTAAGCTGATGGTTGTTCCACACCCGGTACCCAAGCTTCCCGAATGCCGCCGCTGCTTTCCAGAAGTGGATACGCAGCTCACTGTGTAGCTGCTGATCACTCGACATTACACCCCAAGGTCGCAGAAGCGGGAGGTGGTTTCCAATACTTCAGCACCAATGCTGATTTTCGGTAATATTAAAGATTGCAACTCCGGTGAAGGCATGCACTTATATATATATATATATATATATATATATATATATATATATATATATATATATATATATATATATATATAGGGTTTGCGGCATCCGATTTCGGATTCGCCAGTCACTGCGGCCAGCCACAGGACGCTTGCGCCTACAGAGGGACCGTGGGTGGCTTGCGCTGCACCACCCACAGCTCCATCCACACACCCTATATCCAGTGTAAACCCGAAGCAATAAGACCGGGAGCCTTACGGATGGGACCACGTTTCATCAACGGAGCCGGCCCACACTCCTACACGGGCAAACACAAACACACTGTTTTTGGGAATCAAGCGCACACAAGGCGGTGGCTGGACCATAGTACGCTGCACACTGTGTGCATGGAACCTAGCCTAGAACGTCCACAAGGACCGTGCACCCCATCCCTTCCAGCAACGACCAACTGTCTCCTGGAGCCAGTATGGACGAGGTAGTGGGTAATAGACAGGTAGACATCTTGTCAACATGCACATCAAACTCAGCCACATCGGGGATGTCAAACAACAGCCAATCACTTGAAATGACATTATCAAATAAAATATATCTGTTAACGAATACCACTGTGCCGACATAACGTTGCTAAATCTGCATATGTAGTAACTTGGTTAGCAACTAATCCGCGACAAGTACAAAATGTCCAGAAGTTACTCAAAAATGCTACAAACGCAATAAAGTTAACAAAGATAACTACAGTTAGCGTAAGCAAAAGTGGCCAGTTAATAGAAGATTAGTCAAGTAGGCAGAACAAACCAAATAAAGTGAAATGAAATTTATCCAGCTCGCTATCTTCACATGGTTTATCACATTATCCGGTTACTTGGAACTCTTTTTCCAGCCTTTCAATAGACTTGTTTTTTGCCTAGCCACAGTGCATCAATATGTGTAACTTCCTCACACATCCACGCTTTTGAGTACCGCCGCCTTGCACCACTTCCATTGCCACAGATTTTGATCCCACTCCAGTCACACATTCCGATGTAGCACCATTGTCCTACCACCGTTCAGGACTGTGTGCGCTCACATCTCCCGATTCAACATTCCCATATGTTTATCGAATGTGGACCACATGCACTCAGCTGTTATGTGGATCCGTCTGTCTCGTATGCAACTCTGAATGCGGGCACATGCGGTAGTTTCTCGCTGATTAACCCATATAGTCGCTTTCTTGCCTCCATGTTTTTTATTCTCTAAAGAAGTGTGTACTTCCTAAATGCTACAGCGCTCCGCTGCGAATCTTATTGAGTCAATCTGTCTCGTGTACTGCTTCATTTCAAGTGTTCTAAAAGTCCTGCACATACTCCCTGACTACGGCGGACAAACTGAGTCATCAACGTATACACTTTAGATTCAATGTCCGTTCCACACATCCTTAAAATACGTGTAGGCGGATGATTACAACTTGCTCGCTCATCAGGTATAAACTTGACTGTAGCCATTCTATATTTCTTATAGGTGCTTTGTGAACCGGCCTACCTCCTATCCGGCCATGCAGTGACACAAGATGCACTGTCACTGAGGACTGGCCTGACACCGTCCATCGCCTCACTTCCAAACCCAGTTATGGGTCAGGTGAATTGGGAAAAACAATCAGCCACGGATATCGTGCGTGTGTGGCACGCGTTGAAAGAAACGTCTGTGCGTTTGCAATCCACTATGCCAGTGGTGTCAACAGGGTCTCCATCTGTTGCTCACGTTCAATTGTGTGGCGGTGCACCAATGGCGGTTCCTGACCTCACGAAGCTTTCGGCTAGAGAGGAGCTGTGTATAGACTGTGGGGTAAGTACATTACATCTCCACTTGTCTAGTAGTGAACTTCACGATTACCAATTGTTCCGCGAACATGGAGCTGAAATTCTCGCAATCGGCAGGGAATAAGTCAGCATTCGGTTTTCTACAACCATTTTTGTTGGCTAAAGACTGCCATGGGCATAAGGTTGGAATATCTATCATTCACTTTGCACCTCACGCTTGTTTATCACACCCATAGTTAACCGTATAATTGCATACCGGTTCTTGTTACCAGTGTTGAGGAGACAATATGAAATGCGCGTGGCTACCAATTCCCCTTCTTATCGCACTTTTTAAAGATGTTTTCGCCAATCAAGAGCCTTAATTTCGCCTAACTTCTTCATCGAAAACCTCAGTCTATGTTTAAGTTATTTTGAGAACATTTTATCGGAGGAGCGATGAAAATATGCTCCTAGGTCACAGTTTGAACATAGCGCGCTGTACTAAGAAAAGCGTTCTTTAATAATGGTTATCCGATGCCTTCATTGACAGGAATATGCGAATTAACTGGTCGCCTAAGCATCCACAGTACGATGAAAGTCCGTCTAATTATCGTTGCAATTCAAGGAAGACAACTGTTCCGAATACCTTAGCAAGCGCTTATGAGCGGCAGCATGGTTAAGCGTTATCTTCACTCCCGCACCCATGCTACACTTCCAGCCGAAGGATAAACTGTCTATGCATGTCTTCTCTTTCTGTGTTCAACAGTTTACCTGTTTTTGTGGGACAATTTACATAAGTCGCACCGCGCGACACGCAGCGTGGCTAAGCCGAGCATTGGACGAAGCGTGCACCATCGCAATAGTCTTATACTTAGTCCAGACGAATCATCTCGTCATTATCTCCAAAATCCTTTGCCCGATCTACGCTTTAAGATGCGTCCATTCCAAATTTAGCAAATGACGAAACCTAACATTGTTGGAGGCGGTCGCAATTAGTCTCATCAACCCACGCTGTGTGTGCCTAAACACTTCAAGTCAAAGCCGAGTCAACTCAATGTAAATCTTGTGCACTCGAGTGGGTGCGTTTTCAGAATTTTAAATTAACTGCCCCGGATGGACTAAAATGGCAACGTTAAAAATGCGGATCGTATAGATGGAAAAGTGAACACAGGATGCACAAGTGTCACCCGATTAAACGGTCCCGTATGTGCAGGTAGCAATTTCCGTTATTGAAGTGACTTATTGTTATTTGCTTATTGTTGGAGGCACAGTGCCGGAGCTCGGTTTGTCAACCGGGACGATGATTCTTCAACTTGCAAAAATGCCTTTTAATGACTTTTCACGTGGCACGCGCATTATCTCAAAGTTCTTTATCACAAAATCAACGCGCTGGTGACCTTGAAATAGTGTAGCCGAAGAAACTGTTAACAACGTTTGATAGAAAATGTTGAATCCGCAGTAGATAAGGTCAAAACGATGTTCTAATGAAAAGGCAACGGCTGATTTAAATACCCCGCTGTTTGTCAAGGCTTTGTGTTTACCATGGCCAGCTGTCATCCGGACAGCTTCTGTGTGGACAAATCACACGAATTTTGGCAGTTTGATACCTTCATTCTCTAGTAACTCAATGTTTTCTATTCGTTCCGATGATGTATCACCGAAAGCGAGCTTGTTTTCTACACGGACTTCTAGTGCTTTTGGGTACAGTGTACAGTTTGATCCATTCTCCCAGTTATTCTTTTTCTCAAATTTTGCCAGACAACTTTCATTTCGTCCTAGGCTTTGGGACCTTACTACGAAACATGATCAGGAAGCTGTTTCTGGGTCTTAGCACGATTAAATGCTTTCTGTACTTCTGTGATCCGTTTAGCTACGGTTAATGACACTTTTAAGTGTCTTCAAAGTCATTCATATGAACTGAGTCAGTGGTTAGGATTTAGACCGATTTGGCTTCAGCATTTTTTTCCTTCGAAACCCCGCCGTGAGCAGCGACAGTCTACGGAGTATGAGATTACAGCTCGACTGGCATAAGTCGTAAGCGTTAGTGGTTGTCTCCGTTGACAGGAGAACACTGCGCGATGCTGATTGACCTACTTCCCGCTGTAAGCCAAGTGACGCCTGGTACGAAATGTGCAAACCCATCAATTTGCACCTGCCGTTGGCGGACATTCCATCATATCACAGTCGTAAAACTCACATAAACTGTCTTAAACCTTCCAAGACTTCGTGTTGCCAACTTCAATCAGTCCCCATTAGGACTCCAGTTTTACTTTCGAGCTGGATGCGTTCCCCACTACTTTGTGGAGCAAACCATTGAGCTAACGGTACCGGATGGGGTCCATCATCTTCATCTGACCTACTGCCCTGTTGACGAGAATGCTGGGCGAAATGCTAGAAGTGGGACACTTTGAACAAAACTCTTTTTGAAACGGATGTAGGGATTTTGTACCACTTGTCGGCATTTATACATCTTATTTTTTATTTATCTACCGACAAGAAGTTTTCGCTTTTAATCTGTTCTCGCCATTTATCACGATTCCATCCCTAAAATCGGTTAAAGTACGTCCTGCGCAAAATATACGTGTAAGGTGAGAAACTGTCCCTAATCTCGGAACAGGTCATTAGATACCGAGATGATCATGCTGTCGCATGAATGAATATTGATGTACATTTTATCTTTTTAAATATTTTTGGTCCATCTTGGAACACTTCATGTGAGCTGTCGGATGAGAACATGGATAATAAAAACCATCAAGTTTGGTGTGGAATGATGTGGGGTTTTCACAAATCCTGATTGCAGTGAGTAAGCTGTTCTACAAGACGGCGTATCTGGTGAGGAAAACGCAAGACTGTTCTAACTCCTGCTATCAGTAGCATAAATTTCTTGTTGCGGAATCTTAGATGGTTATCATGTCAGGTAAGAGCGCTCTTTCTGATGCATCATATTGTGAAGAAGCACTAAGTTTTGTTTTAGACATGGCAGTCAGAGACGCTCGATGGGAAGTTGCCTACAACGTTCACGGTAATTTAAGGTAGATGTGCTACTGAACAAACGTTTGGTGAATGATCTTCGTACATTTTCCATAGTTTTCCTGTCTAACTTCCTCATGCTGCCATAGATGAGATTGCAGTATTTGCGAATAAGACGTGTGCAGCTTTTAAATTATTATCGTGTAATTTGCCCATTTTTATTGTATATTTCAAGAAGGAAGGCAAGCGGTACGCTTAGGGCGAACAATTGTTTTCGATTTATTCATCATCAGGCTTGGTGCAGAAATCTACGTTGATAAGAGGATTTCATTCGGGAAACAGAGAGCAATTATTGATTGAACAAAAGTTTTAAATGGTTAAATTATTCCAGTTTGGCAGGGACCGCATGGATTTTGTGATAAATAGTTCGGTGCCAGTGTTCCAGGACGAGGTGGGTTTTCACCTGACAAGCATTCTCTCTATAATAGCCACGTATGTCCATTTAACAACAATGCGACGTGGCGGATGTGACTCGCCACTAAATAAAGTCACTGTACTTTGCTCCACTCCGGTGGAGCAATGTATTCCAGAAACTCGACGCTGAAATTGTGAAGACGATTGGGCCTCTGTTTGTCAACCGACCAGACGAAAGGCGTATGAACTGCGCAAGCAGTCACCAGCTCCCATTGAGCGCGATTCTCTGAATTCGCCCCGCTGCCTTGCTGGTAGGCTAATTAGCCCGAGGCTTGGGGTGTTATCTCCTAAGCCAGCACCCTACTTCGGTTTGGAAAACTGGGTAGTATCTTGCTCTCAGGCGAAACCATGGGTTTCTCTGTGTTGTGTTCGGTATTCTTTTTGTGTCAACTGTACCTTCTGATTTCTATGGTTTTTGATGGCTCTTTATCTGTTCCTAGACTCAGTTAGTTTCAGTTGATCAACTATGATCCAGGTACTGAAGTGCAGCGGATCCAGTTGCCACGATTCCGTCGCAACGAGACTAGACCTTAACGTGGTGCGACGGTTTGCGTACGTCATTGACCCATTGAGCTATACTGGGTGGTACCTCCGGGCATCTTGAGAGCTACTCCTACCAGGTTGGTCAGTGGTGAGAGGTCAGACAAACTCACTCTCCTGGTCCTCCAGGTTGGGGGTTTGAAATGGGATGGCGTCCATTTCTGTAAAACTAAATCACTGCCACCCCCCCCCCCCGCTGCCTTGCGGACAGGCTTTTGAGCCAAAGGCTTTGGATGAGGACCCTAATCGTCCTCCTGTCTAGGTCTGGGCGCCCTGGCAGTATCTCAGCCCACATACAACCATGACATTTTCTTCAAACATTAACTTCATCCTGCATCGGCCGTCGCGCAGATTATCAAGGGTCGCCTTATCTGCTGCATACAGCAGGGCGGATAAGCTAAAACATGCTACTGCTGGCGCCTCCCTTCTTTCTTTTCCACCTGTTTCTCTTACTCACATCCCGATCTCCATTACTAACCTTCCTTCTATAATTCCCAGCTTAATTGACAACAACCGAAGTGCCACTGGAGTAGTACCGTCTGCAGCCATCATCCCACAGCACCTATCGGACGCCTATCGGCAAAAGTCCCTTATAAGGCCACGCTATCCCGTTTCCATGGCGACATTCAACGTTCGCACTCTAAGACAAACAGGTCAGCAGGCTGCACTCGCACGCACCTTAGACACACTGGGTATTGATGTGTGTTGCGTGTCAGAAACTCGGATTAATGAACCTAATGGAGTTGTTGAATTAACTGCACCCGGCTTATCCTCTCATTATTGGTTGCATGCGTCCGGAGACGCCGATGCAGCACTCACGGGTCAAACTGGTGTAGGTATCATTCTAAGCTCCAAAGCTGAACCATCGCTGGTTGATTGGATTACGGTGAACAGCCGTTTATGTGCAGCCCGTTTGACGACATCAGCTAAGGTTAATTCACGAAGTAATACAAAACGCTGTTTGTTTATGATCTCCGTTTATGCTCCCACCGACTGCAGTTCTGATGCTGTCAAGGACACATTCTATCACGAACTGAACGCGCTACTACGCAGTGCTGCTAG